CCGAGAGAAAAATTGAAGAGTAGGAACTGAGGTATTCCAGTTTCTTCATCTCCCTTCATTAGAAATAGTCAGGAGGCTGTTTTAGAGGTCAGGTTGAATGATACTTCAATTATGAAACAATCTGGAATACAAGGTGCTGTCTGACACATTATTATTGTGTTTCTTGTCTTTGCACCTTGTACTGAGATGGAATTGTATGACTGGGCTTCTCATCAATTCTTTTTGGTGTAGAAATCTTGGCAGCTCCAATAAATACACTTGCATAAATTTAAGTGAATACACACAGGCTCTCTTAGTATGAATTCTCACACCTTGGTCTGTTATACAGCAGGTATAAGCTATGCAGTGTTCAACACAGATGGTGGGCATCACCCAGCTGTGCCATGCGTGTGTGTGTGTGTGTGTGTGCAGAAGCATGCACACGTGTATAGACATGGCAGGCTGTCCATTGTTGTTCTTGTCTGAAGAGCTCTACCCTGGCATGGCTTCTGCTCATAAGGAGTCTGTGTTCTCTTAAAGCACAAATATTAATGATCTCCTTACTGAAGGACCTTTTTATTATAAAATCTATTTGTATTTATAGTGATCCTCAGAACAATGAGGAGAGGAACTCTTTGTTCCTTTCCATGTCTTGGAATCTGACTATGCCTTAGGCAGAACCGCACACATACCAGGGATTGGTATCCTCACTTGCCATAGAATTTTGAAGAGACTTTGGAAGTCCTCTATGACTTTGGAATTGGTGTTCAAGATTCCCAGAAAAACAAACAAATAAACAAACAAAGCAGTGATTCTTCTTCTCAAATAAAATCTTAATGCGGAAACCAGCATTATAAAGCCAATAAAAGTCTTCCAGATTAGTCAGAGATGGCTACTTCTTTTTCTTGTGTAGTCTCTGTCCTCACCCCATGATATCGGTTCCCTGGACTCTTTTGAACTGTGTTAGGATCCTTGGACAACTTAGCATGTGGGTACAAATGGTGCTGCTCTGGTTCAAGGTGGCAGGGGGTCAGTGAGCAAAGCCCCCCCTAACCTGTTATTGCTCCCAGAGCAGCACTGTGGAAGCCCAGGGTTCTCTGCAACACTGCATTTTTTTAATGCTTAGCTAGTTCTTTTACAGACGAGGAGACAGACCCAGAGAAGTAAAGTGACTTGCCCAAAGACACACAGCCAGTGGTACCAGAATCAAGATTATTACCATCAAAAGATAATTGAGTCTCTGTCCTATAGAATGAAAGGTAGGATACATGTACATGAAAAGATAAAGGGAAAACTAAAATTAACACTGTACTCATCAGTGTATATTAGTTCCACAAGTGTTTAGAAGACATGGTGGTTCCTGGAATCTGAGGCTCTCTCCACTGAATTTTTCTAAATATTTGAGACATGGGTGTTGCCATGGGCACCAGCTGCCTGCAGTAGTGCTGAGAAATGAGCAGGGAGAGAGGAAAGGAAGGGAGAAGAAGATGAAAATGGAAAGGCAGCAGTAAGGGGAAAGAGCCCTGGATAGGAAGGAAGGAAGACAGGAGTGTCTGAAAGGCTGAAGTCATCACACCTGCCCCAGGCAGGTAGGGCTTCACCCTTGATTTGGGAAAGGGGTCCTCCAGGAGCCCTGGGACTCCATTCCAGCGTATTCCCATTCCAGCCTTGACGTCCTCTCATCGGCAGGTTTGCATGCCTCCTTGACCCTTTCCAGGGTCAACACAGAACAGGAGGAACAGGAACTTCCCAGGTTGGCTTCCAAAGTTCCCGAGTTCCCAAAATCACAGATCAAAAGGGGCAGTTCACAGGCTGAGTGTTGTGCATTCTCAGAGAGCTCTGTGGTCCCTCAGGATTCAGGGGAGCATGGAGCTCTGGCCTCAGAACTCAGGCAGGAGGAGGGCTATGAGGCACAGGACCAGAGGCACCAAGACCTCAGCACAGCAAGAGAAAGGTCTTGGACAAACTTTTGCATTTCTCCACTCCATTCATTTTTGCCCTTAGGTGTTTCTGTGGCAACACAACATAGGTTTTAAAAGGATCAACCAAGCTGTTTCACTTCTTTACATTTTTGTTTGTTTCTTTCTTGGGTTTGGGGGGCGGTGGGTGGGATTAACTTCAAGGGCACTCAGTCCCTAAAGTCAGAATGAATACCATAGAGCCATCAGCATGCGCACGTGCTCAGAGGCAACACGCACCTACCCCTTCTCAGGATTCTTTGTCCAGACCCGTTCTTACTGGCCACCTGGACCCTTTCCAGTTCTATCTCAGATCCTTAAACAACTTAGTATGAGGACTGACCCAGTTGTGTCTCTGGGGATAAGCAGGGACCAGGAAGAAACCTTCCCCTGGCACCCAGGAAAGCGAGATGAGATGAATGGACCTTTGGACCAAGGGTCAGGGAATCTGCTTTCCCATCTTCTGCACATACCTCCCTGGCCTTGGTATCTTACCAGCATTCTGGATTTTCAAGTGAGGAGGTTAATTAAATACCCTCTAAGATTCTATCTCTCCAACTCAATGGCTTTAAGCAGGATAACTTCTGCCAAGGAGGTACATTCCCATAATGTGAAAGTGCTTTCCAAGGGATGAGATTGCCCCTTACCGAGAGGGATTCCAGCCTCATCTCTCCTCTCTTTAGTTGGCACGCTCTCCCTGGGCAACCTCATTCAGCCCTCCCTGCAAGCTGGACTCCCCCTGACCTCCTATGTCTGATCACCAGTAACCCCACAAATGTCCCACAAATGCTTTAACTCAGCAAGTCCAGAACTGATGGCTCTCCCCTCAAGTCCCCCACTGCAGTGAGAGGCATCACCATCCAGAGTCGCCCAAGTTAGAAAACTCGGGGGTGGGGAGCACTTCTGCTGTGTCTTTCCCCAACCCCTACATGCAGCCAGAAACCAAATTACCTTCTTTCTATCTCTAAAACCCACCTAGTTCTCGCCAATCCCGTTGTCTACCTTGGCTCAAGCCTCCATGGTCTCTGCATGGGTCACCCCCCAACTCCCTCCACCCCCATCGCCACCCTCACTCTCTAGACCGGTGCCAGATTATAGCGCACGTCTGACTCCAACATTCACTATCTCCTCAGGATAGAATCCGAGCACCAGGGGCTGCTCCAAAGCCCCTGGTCATCTTGCGCCTACCCACCTCTCCAGCCCCGTAACCTTCACTCCAGCTGATCAGATGCCCACATTACCTGAAGCTCTGCACACACACACCCCTTCCACAAACTCCCTCAGGTTGCACATGCTTTCCCTTTCAACTCCGTCCTGATGGGGTTTAACCCATCATCAACCGAATCAACCCATTTTAACCCAACATCACCTAATTTTAAAAGACCAGAGGCTCCCACATACTGTTATTTGTTCCTGGGTCATGCTCCCCCACCCCACCTCTGTAATAGGTAGTGAGTAAAAGACAGTCCTGCCTCTGAGGTGCAGATTAATGCCGGCTTCTCCATTCCCTTCCCACAGCTACTGCCTGATCAGGGCCTTCATCGGCACATGGGCTAGTGGTTCTTAAACTTCAGGGTGCCTCAGAAACACCTGGAATCATCTGCAATGCACATTTCCAGGCTCCATAGCCAGGAGATCCACCTCAATAGGTCTGGGTAGGGCCCAGAATTCTGCATTTTTAAACTTTGCCTCCTCAAACTGCTTCACCCGGAGCTGGGCACAGTGAGGTCTGCACTCATGCCAAGTCTAGCAAATCAGAAAGAATGGATGGGAGCACAGGTATATGTGTGGGCTAGCCTCCCCCCACAGAGCTACCCATCAGACTTCAATGCCCCTGGGCTTGGAGCACCTTCCCAGCAGGCTGGGCAAGAGCGAGTATGCCTTCCCAGGTGAGCTCCATCTGACCCAACACAGGATGGGAAGATAGGTCCGGGAGTTCTGAGCCTACTGCTTCCTGGGGGCTGTGACTGGGCCTGTCCTGCTTGGAGGATCTGTGGCCGAATGCCATGTGGACCAGTGTTTTGTGGCTCCAGTGAGAGATGGGCTGAGGCTCCTGCAGAGGCGAGCAGTGGAGCATGAAGGCATCCAGGCAGCCTTTGCCTGGTGGGGGCCATTAAGGCTCTGCACTGGGAACAAGGTTGTGGGAGAAAGCAATTAGTGGTGAGGGAAGCCAGTGAATCAGCACACAGAGTCGGCTCGCTCTAATTGAGCCAACGAGTTTGTCCTGTTAAGTGTGGGCTCCCAGGGACAGGAGCTTCATCCTTAAATGCAAAGCCTTCTTCAAGGTGGCAAAGGGAGGTAAAACACTACCTCCCACCCTTTGAGAAAAGAGATGAGCCTTTTTCTTCACTGCCCCACCCCAGTGCCTGCCTCTAACCTGGAAATGCTGATTTTCTCAGCTGACGGGGTCTGTCTTTGGACAAAGATTTTTATTTTCTCAAGAAAGAGAGAGATTTCTAGTTCAGGGTCAGGGTATATGAGCAGATTGCCTGTGTTTCAACTGTTGTTAGGAGCTTTTCGATGTCTCAACTTCTTTGCGGCTGTATTCCTGGTCTATCAGTTTGGAGAATGTGGTTAGTACACTCCCCCAAGATGGTTTCTTTTTCTTCAGGGTTTGTTACCTCAAGGTGGCGGTACACTTTTCCTGTGGTTTTGTCCCCTCCTTTCTGAGCACTGTTCTCCTCTGTCTTGGCATCATTTCCCTCTAGATCAAGACATTATGAGTTCTCTTCTGAGAAGGTACAATGAAACATTCACTGATTAACTAAATAAGATGTTTTTCCAAAATGTGTCATTTTTCTACCACCCTAATATTTGCATTTTAATGGGACATTTGAAGACTAAAAAAAAACCCTTAATGCCCAATGAATTGGAGGTCTAAGGTTGGAACAGACTGGGGAGTTGGTAATCTGGCTAGGAGGTCCTACCCAGGTCCTCCTAGATCCCACCACAGAGTGGGCAGCACTCTCCTCCACCTGCTTGTGAGATCTGCTGGTTCAGAACTTTCCAGATCCCCGATCTCATTGACTTTATTTTTCTCTCCCTTCTATTTTTGTTTCCTAGGAACGAGTGGAATATCTCTTTCTCATAATTTTTACTGTGGAAGCATTTCTAAAAGTAATAGCCTATGGACTTCTCTTTCACCCCAACGCTTACCTCCGCAATGGTTGGAATTTACTAGATTTTATAATTGTGGTTGTAGGGTAAGTATCACTACCTTTCTCTCTTCCCTCCCCTCACCCCTTACTATCCACCAACATGTGCCTCTGTTTCCTTCTGTTATTTGTATCTCTTTTTTATTTGGTCACAGCGGCACTGGGCACCAGGCAAGATGAGAGGATCCATTAAAAGTCACTTTGAATTCAGACTTTCTCCAAAGGGAAAAGAGCTCTTACTTAAGAACATCTCCCTCACATACATGCTCACATGCGTGCATTCACACACACACACACACACCCCACAACACAGAGTGGAACCTGAGGGCTTTTAATGGAACTCAGCATCCTCTTTGCAGCTGAGGAGATTCCTCTGCTTGAGGTCTTTTATTCCATCCCCAACCACATCTGGCCCGACAGCTCTTCGAACCAGTTCCCCTGCTGTGTTCCTGAGCAGAGTTCGTCCAGTTGGCCTGGCGAGCAGCCCATGGGCATGGGGGTGGGGCTGAAGCTGGCATAGGTGCCATGGATGCCCACTCTCAACTCTACAGTGGGCCTCATCGGGGGCCCCAGGAAACAGGCTGCTTGAGATAAGTGGGTGAGGAAACAACAGAGAACTTTGAAGGGCCAAGGTCGTGGGTGGCCTAAGTAGAACCAAATACACCTTCCCCAAACACGCTGTTCCGCTGTAGCATGAGATAAATCAAGGTCAATATATGCTTTAAAAAAAAAAGCAATGTAAAGAATCATAAATAAAATTCGGAAGTGGTGATCTCCTTATCTAGGAGTTAGCAACTTTACAAAAAGATCCTGTACATGTGCTATGTGAAATGTAGTTCATTAAGACACAGTTGATGAAGTTTTAACTGCTCCTCTCTTTTGTGAAGGGAGGGCACCCTACAGCAGATTCTACTTGGGCTTCTCGAAGCTGATCTGTCGTTTCTCTGAGCCTGGAGAGTGGTCACATGGTAGCCACCTTGCATTTTTACTCCCGTGGAGTTCCGCTAGCCTTCAGCGTCAAGGTCAATATGTCACTGGGCCCATATCCCAGGAACCTATTTTTGATTGGCACCATTTGTGCCATCCCAGTGAAGACAGGTCCTTGTGGACTCCTCCAGAGCACTCACTGCTCATCATCTCATGGGAGTGTCTGGTCTTTCCTGCAGGAAATAACAAGAGCAAATCAAGACCATTGAGAAGTTATATCCTTGCCTCTGGCCATCTGGATGACTTATTAGGGTTGTTTGGAACTGCTTTAGGGGTTTTTCTTTGTTGTCTTTTTTTGCACAGCCAATGAAAGACACACTTTGGCCACATTAACACCAAGGATATTTGGGTGACATGAGAAGCACTAAAGTTATTGGAGTATTTGCCAGGCATAGATCTGGCTCCAGAGGACTCAGAGTGAGGATGCAGTTATAAGAGAATTTGCTGCTTTTGTTCACACCAGGATAAACAAAGAATAACCAAACAAATGCCTTGAATTAACTCCGGTAAACCATAGCAAAGGCATTTAAGGTGCCTTGTTCCACATGCCCCTAAATCCTTTCAAATTCAGTGTCTTTCTCACGGCCTCGGGCTCTGGGGAACCTTTCACATATGCCTAGAAAAGAGCCCCAGGAATGAGATTGATAGAGAGATAAGGGTGCCTTCAGGGACTAATTTTGTTTTGGCAGAGAAACCATATCTTCTTCTCATGTTTATGGAATGAGTTAGAGTTGACTGCGTACCATGCTCTGCCCCCTCCAGGGCCTCAGCTGCAGCCTGGGAGGTCGAAACCGGAAGCACAGAGCAGAGCTTAAACCAGAGCTCAGGAGGGAGGGAGCAGATGCCTTGCCTTGCGGTCTGCGTCTTCTGCTTGTTTGGACCTTGCTTTACCCCTCGCCCTGCTGCTCCTCCTGGTAACCGCAGAGGGCAGGCTTCGTGGGGTCAGCCCAGATTTCAGTCACATCTTTCTGGGGTCTGGGCCATGAAGCTGATGAAGAGGAAAGCATCCAGACTGGCCCTCTTCCAAAAGATGCCTCTGGTTGGCTGTTTAAGCCACAGAGTTTTTGATGCTAGTGGTTGCTTAGCTTGTGGCTCACATGACCAGTTGGGCTTTTCCCCCATTACTAGCATGCACGGACATATTTGACACCCAGTTTCTCTTCTCCAAGGGCATTGGTCCTAGCAGCTCTCTGTCTAGTCTCAATCTTGGCCCATCCTTCTAACTTGAAAAAATCACACACACACACACACACACACACACACGGTGTAGCAACGTCCTCTCTACTGCTATGCCTCCTTTTCCTGCCCTTTTTTTTTTTTCTTTAGTAAATGGATATCTGTCTATTTCCCTTATGTCTCCTGGGAAATACCTACTCTCCTGGGCCCCTCCTCTGCAGCCACTTAGGGGACGGTTTCTTGGGCTCTCCTACAATCAGAGGGGAATCTGCCTTGCCCTGGGAGAGCCGGGTTTGCCTGCCTGCTGCCTGAGTGCCAGGCCAAGAGCTGCTCTCTCATGTCGGCATTGCCACGCGGGGTCCTGTGACAAGAGGCATTGCCTAACCCCCACAGACCTGTCACATTTCCTTCCTAAAGTGGAAGGGTGTCCTTGGTACAGTGGGGAGATGAGACTGCTGAATGAAAGTGGGGAGGACTTCAGAGGCCTCTGTGAGCTACCTCTCCCCACCTCAAGCCAGGGACCTAGGGATCCTCACTAGATCCCCCTGCCTGAGACATTCTACTCCAGCTGCAAGGGCTTTTGCTACCATCTCTCTCCCAGTATGGTGGCCCTGCCTTTCTGAACTGCTGGGCCCTCTAGAGCTGTGTTGTCCTCTTTTTACAAGCTCCAACTCCAGCTAAGGAACTGCCAGACACAACTCCTGAAGAATCCCCCTGCCAAGCATCCATATCTGAACCCAGCCCTTAGGGACAGATAGGCACAAAGCAGTGGGTTCAGCTTTACAGTATCTAATCAAGGAGAAACACACCAGCCCCTACAAGCCAAGAACACTTCCTAGACCCATTCCTGAATTTTCTACCTTTTCAAAATTAAAATCAGACACTTAATAAAGTGTCTGCGTCAAGTTGGGGCAGAGAAAAGAAAAGAAAGTTGTCTAACCTCTGTTCCCTTCAATAAATAATATTATGTGAACATCTTGTACCCTAATAAGCGTATTGCTTTCTTCCAGGAAATACTAGGAACCAAATCTGGTTTGGATTTGGAATGTTGTTTGACAAACTTGCAAACTGGTCTCCATTTTCTAAGATTTCAGCGATCTAGACTTCAGTGGAAAGAACATTTCTCTGCAGAGAAAGAAGCCCGTTTCCCCCATCCTGGCAACTCTGCCTGGGGTTCAAGGCATCACCAGCTAACAATATGACACCATCAAACTGCCAAGCTGAGCTGAAAGAATCACAGGGCTGAGAAAGACTTTAGATGTGGTCTGGCCAGAGTTGTCAAACTTCTTTTAGCTACAAAACCCATTGTTCAAGCAAAGCCTTACTCAGAGAGCCACAAAAGCCACTCTATTCCCGCCACTTATCTCTGGCCTCGCTGCCCAAGAAGTCCCTAAGCAGTTCCATGGAGCACAGTTTGGAAATCCTTCATCTAGACCAACCCCGTCCTCGCTGGGCCCTGCCTAGATTTGTGTTTCTGCAAAGCTAAGCCCCCAGCTGCAGCCTCCTGTGTTTCCAGATCCAGTTCCCTGGGCATGAGTCATTTCAGGAGCTCAAGCCTATTCCTCAAGAACGAAGTTGCCCTGGCCTCGAATGCAGGTCAGATGTGGGGCCCCAGTTCTGATACCTGGGCTTCCCCCTTGACCCCCGGCCACAGCCCAGCACACACTCTGCTGACAGTGAGTTGGTAGTCATCTCTCGTATAAAGGACAGAAATTGCCCCCATGTGTCCTTTCCCCTATTTTTCTTGGTTACCACAAAAGCCCAAAATTCCGGGCTCCCATTCCCACGTGGTTCTTTGAACCCTGTGCCCCCTCTCCCTCACCATCCCCCTGAAACCTTTCCACTGTGCCTTGTGTTCCCCACAGCCCACTGCCCATTCAGGGGTCAGCAGACATTTTCTGTAAAGGGCCAGATACACATTTTCAGCTCACAAGCTATGCGCTTTGTCCCGACTAGTCACCTCTTCCGAGAAAACAGCAATGGACAGCAGCAGTATGTGAATGAGGGGTGTAGCTGAGCTCCAGCAAAACGCCATGTACAGAGCGAGTGGCCCAAGGGCTGCCCTAAACCCTCAGCTTTGTCTCTGGCCACTCACTTAACCTCCTGGCTCCCCCAAGGGTCCTACTCCATCACAGTCTCTCAAGAGATGGCCACTCTCTCCCAAATGCCTTGTTCCACAGCCAGGAGGTCAGGAGAGGGGCCCTGCATTTCTCTTATTTCTGCTTTCAGACTGCTGGCCCTCCCCGCTTCCTAGCCACCTCTGATTCTGATGTGTGTGATCAAACCCTTCCACTCCTACTCCCTATGGGGTCCCCTTCTAGGCCTCTGGGGACTCCTCATTCCTTGAAGACAGGAGCTCTTGGCTCACTCTCAACTCTCTCCAACCTCACTATTCCTGCTGTCCCCTCCAGTAGCTTCTTGGTTCCTTGATATCTACACCCCCCACCCCCCCCCAGGGATCCTGACTCCATCCTATCTCAGATGCCCACTCCCATGGTGATAGCCAATATCCCTGCGGTAACTAATAGCCGTGCCCTCCCCCATAATCTCAAACCAAACACCCTGCTCTGGAAACACTACCAGCCATCTTTCCAGCTTACTCCCTCTAGCACTTTGACTCTGACAATCCATTCATCCTGTCCCATACTCTCTGTTCCTCTGCCCGTTGTGTCCAGTCCTCCTTTTAACCAGCTTAGATGCCCAGCCCCATCACAATCTCTCACTTGTGTGTACAGTCAACTTCCTTCTTCCTCTCTTCACTTACCTTGCTCATTTGGAAAAACACCAACCCTAATCAAATCCAACTAGATGGAAATCCATCTGGTACCTGAAGCTGTGCCACTAAAAGGAGTAGAGAAACCTGCAAAGCTGAGCTGATGGGTTTCACCTGACACTTGTGACCACAAACTTCAAATAGGTCCTTGATGATACCTGGCAACCCTACTCTATGTGCTACTCCATTCACTCCTCCACTTACTTTGGTGAGTCTTTTATACCTTAGCCTCCCCCTTTAAACTTCCAATACCTGCTCCCCATTCACATTTTCAGCCGATGACCTTGCTACCTGTTTCCCTGAGAAAACACATGTAACCAAGGAGAACATCTGTACCCCTATGATGTACCTTCCCATTTGAACCATGATAAACCACCCTTCCCCTATCTAGGGCCAGTACCCTTCAGGGTGCAAGAGATTCCTTCTGCCTCCTGCAGGACAGCAATCCTTCCAGTAATTGTTTTCTCTCTTCTGCATGGTCAGATTGTCTATCTCTGTTGCATACCTCCCGTCACATATAAAAATGCCGCTGGATCTCCCATTTAAAAACAAACACGACTCCCTTGATTCCACACCCTCTTCTGGCAACCATCTTTTTTCTTCTACTACCTTTTCCAGAAAAATTCCTCAGAAGTGTTGTCTATACTGTAGCCACTAGCGACCAGCCGTGCGGCCACTCCGTACAGGATATGTGGCTAATCGGAGTTGAAACACGCTGTCCATGTAACATATATGGCAGATTTCGAAGATTTAGCACAAAAGGAGTAACACACATCTCATGAAAAATTCTTTGGATTTATTACAGTTGAAATGATAATATTTTGGTTATGTTGTAGTAAATAAAATATATTATCACAGTTAATTTCGCCTGTTTTTACTTTTTTAATGTGGCTGCTAGAAAGTTTAAATTATATATATGCCTCATAGTTGTGGCTTGCATCATATTTCTGTTAGCGCTATCTCAGACTTTTCTTCCTATCCTCTCTTGAGCCCATATCCATTAGGCATTTGTCCCCATCACTTCTCCAAAACAGTTGTTTTCAAAGTCTCAGGAGTCTGCATGTTGCTAAAGCCAGCGGTTAGTTTCCCATCCTTGTATCTGCAGCACAAAGCCAATGTCTATGGGATCTTCTATTTGTGCCCAGGCAAAATCAAAGGGGAATCATTAGGAGTAAGGAGGTGTGTGGGGACGAGAGAGGGTGTGGTTCCTGGCCATGTGAGGGCAGGAGCTAGGAAACCCTGGAGTGGAGAGAGGGCACTGCAAAGGGACGGAGACACTCCAGCAAACTTTAGCAACTTTACACTTCTGTCCAGGCCGCCCAGCTTACACAAAACCAGTTGTGTTTGTGCACGGCTTTATGACTGCAAAGGGCCTGCCCATCGCCTCTCAGACCTCTCTGGGCAGTGGTGATGCCCTTGGCAGGGCGATACCCACACCGAGGGGATGTCATCTTAGGATGGTCACAGTCCTTCCCACGCACACACCTTGGCTCTGGTTCCTGGGCTGGGGATGCCTGCAAACTCTGCTCTCCCAAGCTTCCTCCAGAGAATTCAGGGTCTGACAGCTCCGTCTCCCCTTCCTCTCTTCTAGGCTTTTTAGTGCAATTTTAGAACAAGCAACCAAAGCCGATGGGGCAAATGCTCTGGGAGGGAAAGGAGCTGGATTTGACGTGAAGGCACTGAGGGCATTCCGTGTGCTGCGCCCCTTGCGCCTGGTGTCTGGAGTCCCAAGTAAGTAAAGCCATTCTTCTGGTTCACAGTGGTATCTTGTCACCCACCCCCTGCTGTCCTGTGCTGAGTTGCCAGGAGCACTTTGCCAGAAAAATTGATTCCATATAAACAGCGGTGTTTTTTCTTAAATGAATTTCTTTGCTTTAAAGAACCTAACTCTGATGTGAGTCCATGAGAACACACTGTAGCCCCAGCTCCTGTAAACTCCTGGAAAGAATCCATAGCAGCCAAACAGCCAAATGAAGACAGGCTACCCGGAGAAAGAAATCCCTTGGCCATCTGAGCCCCGCCCCCACTCCCTCCCCCTACCCCCAGGCCCTGGGCTGGGATTTAAATACATTTGCAGCAGAGGAGCCTGGTGAGCAGAGAAGGCTAATCCCTGAGGCTCAGGGTCAAAGTATTTTAGCCAATGAGATTATCTCTACTTTCTGTATTTTTCCAAAGAACAATCAGAAAAGCATCAGTGGATGTTCAAAAAGTTCTATTTGCCATTTCTCTCAACCCTCTCCTTCTTTCATGTCAAATGGGACATTTCCGGCTTCAGAAGCCCTATTTATGGACAGGCTGCCTGCCTTTGTGAGAATTGGTTTTGCCCAAGGGTGGAGGGTGTTCAGCTCTCTGAATCAGGCCAGAGGGCATTGGAGAGATATTGTCTATCCAGATATCAGTCCGGTGGACAGCCCCTCTTCTACCTCTTCCTCCAGAAGCCTGCCCCACTATGGATGAACCCCAGGCACTGAAAACAGCAGCTTCGGGCACCCAGCATCACCCCCAACAAAGCACAGCCCCAGTTGCTTTTGGGGATTAAGTCAACTTTCAGAGAGCTCCTCATTCCACTCCTCCTTGATCGATTGGTGCGATCTGAGCATAATTCTGGACTTGCGTGCTGAGATTTTTCCCTCTCAAGTCAGCTCCATCAGATCTGGCCCATAATTCAAGGTAGAGAAGGTCCCTATGACTGGGCTGAAACCATACAAGCTTGGAGATGGGAGCAGGGGACAGGAAAACAAAGACGTCCTCTGAACACCAAGCCCTTACCATAGAAACGTGAAGAACCTTGTATTAACCTGTTCTATTCTTTCCGTACGTGCACAGAAGAGTGAAAATATTTTCCCAAAGAAACCTAACTAACCAGCAGCAGAGCAGGACTAGGAAGTCAGGTCTCCTGACTTCCAAACCAACTTTCTCTCCTATACAACTTCTTGTAAAGGATTAGCTAGTATAAAACTCTTGATTGTCTTAGACTTTTACAAATATATCCCATCTCTTCAATTACATTATAAGCCCCTAGAAGCCCAGAACTGTGGCTTATATTGTCTCTGTTCCTGCACCATGCCTACAATGGTCTCTACAAGTTAGGGGAATTTACTAGATAAATGAAGGCAAGAGTTGGAATGTTTTCTTTGCAGTGGAGCCCCTTGGGCAAAGTCTGTGGTCTGTCTTAAACTCAAAAGTGAACGTGGAGCTAAGCCACACAAACACATTTGGAACAGATTCTTTCTACTTGGCCTTAACCATTTTAGGGCATCTAGGACTGGAAACAGTATACAGTCGACCCTTAAACAATGTGGGGATTAGGTGTGCTGATCCCCACCTTGCGCAGTTGAAAATTAACATATAACTTTTGACTCCTCCAAAACTTCACTACTAATAACCTACTGTTGACCAGAAGTCTTACCAATAACATAAACAGTTAACACATATTTTATAGGTGTTATACTATATTCTTATAATGAAGTAAGCTAGAGAAAAGAAAATGTTATTAAGAAAATCATATAGGGGTGTGCCTGGGTGGCTCATTCGGTGAAGTGTCTGTCTTCAGCTCAGGTCATGATCCCAGGGTCCTGGGATCGAGCCCTGCATTGGGCTCCTTGTTCAGTGGGGAGTCTGCTCCTCCCTCTCCCTCTGCCCCTCCCCATCTCATGCTCTCTCTCTCCCTCAAATAAATAAATAAAATCTTAAAAAAAAAAGAAGAAAAAGAAAGAAAGAAGGAAGGAAGGAAGGAAGGAAGGAAGGAAGGAAAGAAAGAAAGAAAGAAAGAAAGAAAGAAAGAAAGAAAGAAAGAAAGAAAGAAAGAAAGAGAAAGAAAGAAAGAAAGAAAGAAAGAAAGAAAAGAAAGAAAGAAAGAAAGAAAGAAAGAAAGAAAGAAAGAAAGAAAGAAAGAAAGAAAGAAAGAAAGAAAGAAAGAGAGAGAAAGAAAGAAAGAAGAAAGAAAGAAAGACTGGGTGGCTCAGTCAGTTAAGCATCTGCCTGCTCAGTGGGGAACCTATTCCTCCCTCTCCATCTGCCCCTCCCCACCCTGCTCGTGTGCTCTCTTGTGCATGCTCTCTCTCGAATAAATAAATTCTTTAAAAAAAGAAAGAAAATCATATGGTGGGAAAAAATACATTTACAGTACTGTTCTGTATTTATCCAAAAACAGTCTGCCTGTAAGTGGACCTACACAGTTCAACTCATATTGTTCAAGGTTCAACTGAGTATGATGGCCAAGATCCAATTTCCCTTTTGTGAAGCCTAAATTCTTTGGGTTTTCTTGGTCAGTCAGCCATAACTCAGTAGGCTAAAATCAAGGAATGAGAAGGAAGGGGAGAATAACTTTGAACATGACTTTAAGGAGCTTAATATGATGGTACAGCCAATGTGTCAGTGATAGGAACTATGAACTATTCCAAACTTCCAACCAAACTACAGCGGACATAATGAATCTTACCCTCTAATATACATGATTATTAGGAGCCCACACTTTCAGAGCATTGTTCTGGGTATGAGGACATACCATAAAAAACAAATATAGTCCTTTTACTTGAGGAATCTGACAATCTAATAAGAGTGTATCAGTCAGCTTTTGCTATAAGAACAAACAATCCCAAATTCTCAGTGACTTAAAATCAGAAACATTTATACCTGGTCATGTTACATGATGATGTTGGCCAGCTGCCACTTTTCTGGGCTTAGCTGGACTCTGGGCTTGACCAGCTTCTATATGCTACCTCATTCCAGAGCCCAGGTTGAAGAAGCATCCAGTAGGCCATGTTGTCCTCATGGCAGAGGGCAGATGCTCAAAAAGGGGGCAAAGAGCTAAGCCACACAAGCATATTTTAGGCTTTTGCTCAAAATGGCTTATATCATGGCTACTCACTTTCCAGGGGCCAAAGCAAGTCACATTGCTATCTTTGTCCCAAGGATAATGGGACACAGAATTATACTGTACCTACAGAGAAGCAAGGGTGAATAATTGTGAACAAAGAGCACAGTCTAAAACAAAGAGATTGAGGAGTTTATTAGCAGAAATAGTTACAGTAATTACTCTAGTACAGAAGTTCTTAATTAGAGATGCATATGGTTGAGAGTCACTCGTGCTTCAGTGCATTAAAAAGGAGAATCAGATTAGATACAGTAGCTAGGGTTCCACTGTAAAAACTTCCTAAAGAAGGTGTCCCATCTCCACATGCATTTAATTAATGGTAGAACTGTAGAGTGGGGTCAGGAAGAGGTAACATACCTTGGAATTCTCTCATCAAGAAGATGAGGACATGGTACAGTACCTCAAAGATAAGGCCTTAATAGTACCTACCATGCAGTCCAAGAAGTTAGCTTTGTCGTTGAAGATGATCACACTGAGATGGTTTTGCAGTTGTGGGCAGCCTTGCAGGTGGCTTCATGCTTATACATAGGGCTAACAATTGTGTCTTGTGTTCCATGGGTCGCCAACAGAGTAGCTCTTTTTGGAGCTTAAAGGAAGGGCTAATCCAGCCTGTCACCCTTTCTCCTGGAGAGGTATATGTGCGACTTTTAAATAGTAAAGTATGTAGATCACAGTGAACAAGTGCCCTGGGCTAGTTTGGTTGATATCATCCAGAAAGATGTCAGCAATATCTCCTACCACTACAAACCTAGACAAATTCCATTTCGTAGACCTTTTAGGTGTCTTCTTTCATATTTCAGCAGAACTCCTCGAAAGAGTTGCCTCTATCTGTTGTCTTCAATTCTTGTCTTCTCGTTCTCTCTTAAATCCACACCAGTCAGGCTCTCTCCCCCATTACTCCAGTAAAACATCTCTTGTCAAGACCACCAGTGATTTCCACATTACAGAATCCAGTGGTTAGTTTTCTGGTGCTGTTGTATTTGATCTAGCTGCAGCATTGGATGTAGCTGATCATCCCTTGTCTTTTTTTTTTTTTTAAACATTTTATTTATTTATTTGACAGAGAGAGAGCACAAATAGGCAGAGCGGCAGGCAGAGGAGAGGGAGAAGCAGACTCCCTGCAGAGCAGGAAGCCCAACGCGGGGCTCGATCCCAGGACCCTGGGATCACGACCTGAGCCGAAGGCAGATGCTTAACCGACTGAGCCACCCAGGCGCCCCTATCCCTTGTCTTTAAATCACTGTCATCACTTGGCTACCAGGACACTGTTCTTTCTTAATTCGTTTGCTTTTCCTTATCAGAATCACTTGCTGATTTCCCCTCACATTCTCATCCTCTTAACATTGGAGAGCTGCAGTCTCGATCCTTAGACCTCTTCTATATCTCAGGGATACTCTGTTCCCTAGTATCTGGCATTAAATATCCTGAGCCTTCTGGCATTAAATGTCACTTAAATGTCTTCTAATAACTACAAACTGTATGTTACCAGCCCAGACCTCTCTTCTAAACTCCAGGCTTGTATACCTACCTGCCTATTCCATTCCTTTAATTTGATGTCTAAGCATCTCGAACTTACCACATCCATAACAGAACTTCCAATCTTCCCAAAGTCTTTCCTGTCTTGGTCAATGTCAGCCTCATCCTTCCAGGTACACAGGCCAAAAATCTTGGACTTACTGCTTTCTCTCACCCTTTGTAGGCAATCCTCCAGGAAATCCTATCGGCCATACCTTCAAGAAACTCCTGTTTCTTACCACCTCCAACACCTCTCACCTGGATCATTACAGTAGCTTCCTAACTGGATTCTCTGTTTCCATGCTCACCCTTTGCCACAGCTTAGTCTCAACACAGTAGC